CAAACTGTGTTGATCCCTTCATAAATAATTCACTTCCCAAGTCTCACAGGCCCAAATGCAAAACTCAGCATTCTTCACTTGAACAATCATAACGAACAGTAGAAGTGATGTTTTAGACTTTAATTAAAAGAAACTATTTGTCAGACTTGAGTGTGTAAGTGTGTGCAGGGTACTGAACGTGTCATCCCTCCTTCAGCCAGCCCTTAAATTCAGCTGAAACAAAACACACAGAGTAATACAAACACTGACATCACTGCTCTGTTCTACCGCCTGACCCATACATATTTAATCAAGACACTCATCTCTCTTTTAATACACAACATCTTTGATGATGAGACTCTCTTTGATGGCAAGTGAATTTCATTTGGGTCTAAAAGCTTGCAAAGTATCCAGTTCGAGACGATCACCACATTCGTGACTTTGAGGCAATTACTGTAATGATGCAAAATTGTAAACATTGGCCCAGCGTCTAAATAATTTACCAGGCTGAAAACTGGCTGAAAACTTGCTGCTCCAATGTTTATGAAATTCGTTTTGTGTATACAGGGTGATCGTGTTAAAATGTTCCATGGCATTGAGCTAAAAGCAGAGTTTGAGTGAGATAATTGCTTAATCTTTAAATGGGTCCTCCAGATTAAACAAAAGACTTGGGCTCAGACAATAGTTGTGCCATTTTTTCTTCTTTATTTTAAGTCTTGCTGATTCACACAAGCTAAATGCAATGCATCAGAAACATCTGTCTAAAGAACCAACATCTTGTCTGATTAGATATTTTTTAGTAAAGTAATTAGTTAAACATTTATTATTTTATTTTTATTTAATTAAAGCAAAAAATAAACAATTTTTGTTCGGAATTCTAAAAATAAAAAAATGAGATTTTACGATGTGCATCATTTTTTAAACCGTTTTCCTGTTTTTAAACATGTCAGGGTGTCAGTCTGCCCAGAGTGTCCTTTTATTTCCTCTTCCCTTCTTCCTTCTACAGCTGCAGCAGGACAGGAACAGTTTCTTGGGTGGCCTGCTTAGGGTGACACGCCTCTGCTTATCAGGCAATCATCCACAGCTGAGGCTCGTTATCCCTGATTACACACCTGCTACTTAAGGCTGAGCTGAGACTGCCCTCTTCATAAAAGTGCTGAATGTCACATTTTCACTGTCGTGTTAGAATGCTGCCATTATTTGTGGAAATTCCTTGGGTCCTCATGTATCTAAGAGATGTAAGGCTTATGATATCCTTTTACTGTTTTCTGTCACTATCTGCCTTGTCTTCTCACATCCTTGACTAGAAATAAAAAAAAAATCAGCAGGAACATTTTCTATTGGAATTACTACTCTTTGAATTCATAGGAGTGTCCCAATACCAGTTTTTTCTCAAATAAGAATATGAGTAGTTTGGATTTTTGCCTACAGGTCCTTCTCAAAAAATTAGCATATTGTGATAAAGTTCATTATTTTCTGTAAAGTACTGATAAACATTAAACTTTCACATATTTTAGATTCATTGCACACCAACTGAAGTAGTTCAAGCCTTTTGTTGTTTCAATATTGATAATTTTGGCAAAAAAAGTAAAGAAAAACCAAAAATCCCTATCTCAAAAAATTAGCATATTTCATCCGACCAATAAAAATAAGTGTTTTTAATACAAAAAAAGTCAACCTTCAGATAATTATGTTCAGTTATGCACTCAATACTTGGTGGGGAATCCTTTTGCGGAAATGACTGATTCAATGCGGCGTGGCATGGAGGCAATCAGCCTGTGGCACTGCTGAGATGTTATGGAGGCCCAGGATGCTTCGATAGTGGCCTTAAGCTCATCCAGAGTGTTGGGTCTTGTGTCTT